AGATGAATTTGTAATTTCGTTTTGGAGAACTTCCGTATAGTATATGCGTCACACCACCACTACATTGTTTGCTGCTTTGTCTGCCGGTACGAACACTAACCGCTTTGCGAGTACTAGGAGTTTATTTTTTATTTTAGAAATGGGAATATCATGGACCCTATTACTAATTTCAGAATTGTTTTCAAAATGAGATATACGAATATTAACAGTATTCATAATTTTATTCAAATAACTGTCTAGAGATTTTTTATCAGATTTTTCACGTTTACAACAATTTTTACAGTAGACAGACAGAGCGTCTTTAATGACCTGACGACACTGTTTCCAATCTATTTTAGATGGAGGACGATATTTCGGTCCTTTCTTAAGAAAAGTTATGACCTCACGGTCTTCGACGATGTTGAGGTATCCTGTAAGGACATGACCATAAGGAACATATCTAAAACTAGATGTTTCACTGTCTCAAGTGGAAGGAACATTATTTTCTATATTGACGTCTGATGTAACTGACGTATAATTAAAAATGAAACTTCTGCTGGTTTTTTTTTATAAGAATACGAAATAATAGGTGGTTCTATATTATCAAAATATGGAGGTATTTGGCTTTGAATGGTAGAGTCATTGAATATACTAGATAAGTTAATAAAATCAATACCTCTATTTATATATTTTAATTTAAGAAAATGCCGTTTATGATTTTCAGGTTTATCGATACTAGGAAATAGCCTATGATGACAAAAGGCTGTAATAATACGGGTGTATTCATACATTGGGCAAAAAAAAAGAAATTTGATCACACTCCAGAAAAATAGCATATAATTTACTTATTGGTATTTGACCCAGTTTGCATAATACTGGATGTCTGCTATTATTTTCTAGCATATTTACCTTTCTCATTAGAGAAGAAGGCTTTAAATGAGTTGCAGCAAATATATTTGCATTCAGATTTACCAAACGACCATTTAATTAAATAGTCAAATTTTTGTTTGATAAGATTGTGTGGAAATGTAGTGTAAAGAGTAGAAAATCAAAACTGTCAACAGAATCAAAAAGACCATCAAAAGCACGTAATTTATCGAAAACATCCAAAGAATTTTTTACTCTCCAAAAATAGTTAATTCCACTATTATAGTTTTTTGTACAGATTTCTGGTGGAAATATTGCTAATATTAATAGCATCTAAACCTTTATTGGCGAATTCTACCTTAACATATTACGTTTTTCCTCATTTTTGGATGTAGTTAATACGGGCTTCAATAGTCTATGGTTAGCAATTTCCATGATTATTGCAACAAATCTATACAAAACAGAATTAGAATCAATAACGGAAGTATTTTGGGCCTCTTGAAATAGTAAATAAAGTTTAGATAATGGAATGAAGTATAATTTAGTTCTGATATGGTGAATTCCTAAAGGTTTTTGAACAGACGTTGACACTTTGAATCTGGTTATAAAGAACAGCTACAAAATGTAAGGTCATCTACTAAGTTTACATACATACATATACTTACTACAGTTATGTTCATCGCTTCTATCACCACAATCATCTTCACCATCGCATAACCATTTTGATGTCAAACATTTGCCGTTAGAACATCTTATTTCATCTTTAGCTCATGTTGGATTATCTGGTATATAATTACAAGCATGATTTTAACAATATGTATTTTCTCAATAAAATGGACATTCTAACCTAATGCTTTTTTTATTTTCTGAGAGAAATTTAAAACCCTGACTTGCTTGCTCCGCCATTTGCAGTTCATTCAAAATTCAAAATTCTGACCTAATTACAATGTATTTCATCAAATAAAACTATTCAACTGGTCAAAAATCTTACAACTTACAATTTTAATTTCATTCAACTTCATGGCTGTTATAAACAAGTTTCTTAAATTCTTTCAATTTTGTAGAGAGTTATTTGAATTATTATTGCTAAAGATTCAAACTAAGTTTTCATACTATTTTTCCTCTAAAAATTCAGTTTGAACATCAGTTTGAATTAAAACATGTTATTTTCAGTAAAATAAATGTGAAATTACAATATGGTATGATAATTTTCATGTAAGATAATTTGACATATATTCCTAATATTGATTGGACTGTCTTATCTCCATATAACACTTCATGAAAACATATGTTAGCTAAAAGTATATAGATATAAGAAGATGTGGTATGAGTGCTAATGAGACAACTCTCCATCCAAGTCAAAATTTATAAAAGTAAACCATTATAGGTCAAAGTGCGGTCTTCAACAGGGAGCCTTGGCTCACTCCGAACAGCAAGCTATAAAGGGCTCCAAAAATTACTAATGTAAAACCATTCAAACGGGAAAACCAACGGTCTAATCTATATAAAAAACGAGAAACGAGAAACACTTCTGAACCACATCAACAAACGACAACTACTGTACATCAGATTCCTGACTTAGGACAGGTGCAAACAATTGCAGAGGGTTTAAACGTTTTAATGGTACCAAACCTTCACCCTTATCTGAAACAATAGTGTAACATCACAACATATAAATACACACTATAAAATATCAACTGAAATGGCTTAACTCAATCAAAGGACATATTAACACCAGTAAACATACACTGAACAATTAAATGCCTTGTTATCGAGTATTTTATATTTCAATCTAATGACAGCTTTGAAGTATATATAGACGAAACATTATTTAGAAGAAATCTAAAACGTAAACTGACCATAGTTTTGGCAATTTAAAGAATATTCAAATACAGATGTGAAAGAAATTGGCTAAGTAAGATAGCATGGAGTTTCTTAAATATAGATGAATTGTTTTAATAAATAATAGTTGATAATCATCAAATTTCACTGGATAATATACTAAGTTGTATGCATATCATTAACTGCATGACAGATACCACTAACTACACTCGAAGTACTCGATGTTTTTGCAAATAATTCTATATAAATATAAATAAGAAGATATGGTATGAGTTCCAATAAGACAATTCTCCTTCCAAGTCACAATGTATAAAAAGTTAACAATGATAGGTTTTTAGTACGGCCTTCAACACGCAGCCTTGGCTCACAGCGAACAGCATGCGATAAAGGGCCAGTGTAAAATAATTCAAACAGGAAACCAACGGTCTAATCTATATTAAAACGAGAAACGAAAAACACTTATGAACCACACCAACAAACGACTACCACTAAACAACAGGCTCCTGACTTAGGACAGGTGCATAAAAATCAACGAATTAAAACGTTCTAACAGGCGCCAACCTTCTCTCTAAATCGAGACAATAGTGTAACATTACAACAAAAATAGACATACTATAAAATATCAATTGAAATACTTAACTCGATTAAAAAGACATTTAAACAGAATTAGCCCCAAGCATAACTTGTATTAGTAGGCCTACATTGACAGTATATAGTACTTTTAATATTACTGTTTATAAATATATATTGCCAAAACATTTGCATAAATAAAAGTTTTGCTAAAAGATGCATATTGGTTTATTTTGTGACCAGGCTATTTACATGTCCATTATTTTGCATTAAAATTATATGGTAGAGGTGCCCAGGTATTCAAAGTGTTAGCACTAGTTGAATTAACGGAATGTCATCTGTCACACATTGATTGACTATTGGCATGTTACTAGTAAATGATTTGACTATTGGCATGTTACTAGTAAATGATTTGGCTATTGGCGTTTTTTTTTGTATATGTTCAATCTGGATATAAATAGTTAAAATAAATTTTAAAACTTAGACAGCGCTGAAAATTGAAAATTCTGGAGGATAGTTTTATGATATTGAATTGGTTGAATGTCATCTTTAACAAATTCATATAAAGAGACATAATTTAAATTTTAGTTTCAAGTCTGTTGTGATGAATTTTATTTCTAACTATTTGAATCTACTTGAATGTGTTTATCGTGAATGAAATACATTAAAGTTCATCATCAAAGTTGTTGTTAAAATAGTGAACTTCCACTTAAATGTAGTTATGTTAAGTGGGCATATGGCTGGACAGAAATAAGATAAGAAAGTCAGGTGGTGGGACAAGACGATTTATATTTTCCCACAAAACGCATAAAGTCCCCTTGTGATATAGCCTGTTTGTGCTGAGGCGGTGTCTTGAAACACCAATCAATCATTAATTCCAGAGCTTTAAACAAAATATGTTTCTGGTTATAATCTAAAATAAGGATATCAAGAGGCAAATATTAGCTATAAAAAAACAAAAAAACAAAGATACCACTTTTACCAAAGCAAAAAGGTCACCAGAAAAACAGTAACTACTTAATATTGTGTCATCACTTAAAATTATTCATTCGTATATGGCACAAGATAACACTTTTTTACACGTTTAACATTCTTAAAACGAAAACAAAAGTTAGAATTATTTCTTGTTCGTTTGTTTGTTTGGAAAGGACTACCAAGCATAAGTAATTTGTTTGAATTTCGGCATTAATTAAAGAGCACGGTCATTTTGCATTTCAATATGACTCCAGAACGAGAATAAATTAGACTTCGAAAAGCATTTATAACGATATATATAGAAATAGCATATTTCTGTGTATACTTGTGTTACCCTTACTTCAAGTATTTATAGAATAAATAATCGAAGAATTCAAATAGAGAAAAAATATTCAACGAGTGACCGAACAACACATTATTTGACGAATGCGCGAAGCGCATGATATAATCATCAGTGTTGTTCTGTCACGAGTTGAATATTTTTCGATATTTGAATTCTTTGATGAGTTATTCTTTTATTACATTTGCAAATGGCTTTTTTTCTGAAATTAAAGAAGAAAATGTAAGGAACTATATCTTTTTCTAACCATTCACAATTTGTTTTGCTCCGATGTCATGACAACGGCTTTTGTTGTATGACGTCAGAGGAATGAAATAACCACGTTTATTTCAAATGTGAAATTATCGGTTTTTATTTCACTGTTACCTTTATTTCTCTGTTACCTTCTGTGCTTTTAGACAGTTACTTGCATTATTTAAAATACCTATTGTTAAAGTTTGTCCTTTTAATTTACACATATTAAGGTAAGTGCGACATGTAACTATTTGAAACAAAAATACTACATGAGGAATTTACATTGCCACCTGATAAAGAATCATTATCAAAGTTCAATATTTAACAATGCCATTAGTATATTTCTTGAATTTCTATTCTATAATCGCAGTCTGTCCATGATTCGGAAATTACCATTGCACTCTAGTTCATCCGTGCCGTCATAACAGTCTTTTTCTCCGTCACATTTCCATTTTATAAGAATACACTGGCCAGATTTGCACTTGAATTCACCAGAAGGACAGGTCTTCCCTAAAACCAATCAAACGTATTTATAACAAACATTTTTATCCAGATTTGAAAACTTGTATTGGTATCGGTTGTCGCCAAATTTGATTGAAATCTGTTTTAGACATTTTAAAAATAAAAGAACTGTTGATTGACATGATGTACTAATATTCAGTACAAATGAATCATCAAATTTCCTTTTTAGGTTTTAAAATCAAAGTCTGGTATTTTTTATACACTAATATAAATATTCTGTTCATGAAAATCGATCATTGATCTGGGTGGGTATAAAATTAATATGCAGAAACCTACTGGCATTCCATTGCAATGAGCCGAATTGTTTCACCAATTGATCACTCTATAAACTGTTTCTGGTATGCCGATTTTCTGATAGAGAAACTTATGATAAGTACAAAAAGGGAAAGAAAAGATGGATAAATGTGAAAAGAAGTTATCGCCATGTTCATTTATTCATCGTCAGGTTTTTTTCTTATAGAAACATGTTAGATTCATATCAATGAAGGTGAGCTATCAATTTGTAAGCCATCTCCAACATACTGTTGTAAGCTAGACTTATACGTCTATGTAAGTACTAATTTAAACCCTTTTCAATGATATGTAAAAATTGAATAACAATATTTAGATACATGTATGATGGGTAAATTAATGCAAAACTTCAATTTAAAACAGAGATTTTACTTTAAGTTAACAGAAATTTAACGTTATAAAAATGGGTATAAAAATGTGAATACATACAAATTAAGGCAACAGCAGTTTACCGATGTTTAAATCTTGTAAATCGATTTGGATGAAACAAATCAAATTATAAATCATCGCAAGTTTGCTGATTATGTTCATGGTCTCACATCCTTTTTGTCGTTAGAATTCCTGTTGACAGTTGTTGTTCTGCCAAAGTTTGCTAACAATCATAATACGTCAAAAATAAAGTAGTGCTTATAATGTAATTTTGAAATTACTGGAGCAGTCCTTTAATTTGATAGACAAAATAGGTGTTAAATGCTTTTGATTTTTGAATTTTTGGTGTTTTAACGCCACTTTTAAGCACCGCTTTTGGGCGATTTCGTGGCGGCCAGTTTTTATTGGTGGAGATAGCCGGAGTGACCGGAGAAAACCATCGACCTTCGATAGGAAAACTGACAATCCTAGTCAATTAAGATTGGAGTCGAGTGCACCTGCACTGGCTAGTGATTTCAGTAGTAACTAGGTGTTAAATGTAGAAAGAACCCATTATAATGAGAGAAGTAAATGCTACATCCTTCTTGACATTTAATCTTTTTTGTTTACATACCAGTGCAATTTTGTTCGTCAGACTGATCACCATAACCACAGTCACTGTCGTCACCATCACATCTCCAATTAATTGCTATACATCTTCCAGTTTTTTTACATTTGAACTTGTTGTTTGCGGAACAATCTGTATCTGAAAATGTAATTTCTTATTTCATATTGTTTGATGTTGTCGTTATACAGTGTACTATCCCTTAAATTTGAGTTCCTCGTCATACAGTGTATGGTTTATTGAATTTGATTTCATCGACAAGCAGTGTATGTTTTTTTGCATTTGATTTCCTCGTCATGCAGTGTATCGTCCCTTAAATATGATTTCCCCGTCATGCAGTGTTTGGTGCCCTGCATTTGATTTTTTTAGGACCCCTTTTATAATATATTGTTTGACAACTTATGTCTGTTCTAAATAGCTGCATTAAAACTTGTTGGTAATATCAAAAGTCGTTGAAATAAGAAGTGAAGTTAAGATTAATGCTAGATTCCTTTCGTTCTTAATGAGAATCTCTTGTCGGCAAGAAGAGGAGCCTATTAGGTTCCCCATATGAATGCCGATTGATTGTTAAAAAACACACCATCTAAACGTAACAAATATGTTGTCAACAAAGACAGTTTTTTTTAACAAAATAACATGAGTTTTTTTTAAAAGAAAAACATTTATCCGCTTCACAATTTAAGTAATTTAAGTAAACAACGCTGAAAACGATATTTATTTTACATCGATATTTTTTATATATCTTTAATAATTTCACTTATTAAATGTACTAAAAATGTAAAAAAAATACAACAAAAGATATATCAACATATCTGATATGAATTAATACGAATCTAATTGTCATCGCCTTGAAGATCAACACCCTTTCTTTTCCACTACTGAATGTATCCGTTAAAACCAAATGTTTCTTCAACGGAATATCAATAGTATCAATAACAATTAGATGCATGCATGGTTGTCTTACCACTAGCTGATGAGCTGACATTTGAAATGATATCTGCTAACGACACCGAATTAACTGTGATGAGAAAAACAATCAAGATAGACGTTGAACACATTTTGAACATAAATGACAAAAGCTGAAAGCCTATATATTCACATCACATATGGAGGTATAGTTGGGGTTTCTGCTAAGGATACTATAATTAAACAAAATCTAAACAAACATGAAATTTTAATGAAACAGTTAATGTGTAATTGTTCATATTTTATTTCTTTCGGAAAAGTATATTTTTTCAAGGTAAATCTACCAACAAAAATGGCTTTAATTTCGTTCTCCTGTGTTTAATATAAAACATTCATAAATGTATCAATAGAGGTTGCATACAATTGACACATCACCATCTAAAGTGTTATTTACGTCAAAAATAATTGTCAATTTTTAATTTGAAATTTCCGCTTTATACAAGTTTGGGTATGATAGTTTACGCTAATTATATTAACTATATTTGACCTTAAACCAATTTTACTAAATTTAAATTGTGAGAGAATTTAAATATCTCACATGTATATTTTGAAATTATATCTTATCATCGTTAGATTATAACGGACTAGTCATCCATGGAAATGGATAAAAAAACCATTATAACGGATAAGTAGTCCGTGGGAATTGATTAGCAATTCGTTATAACGGATAAGTAATCCGTGGGAACGGATTAAAAAAAATATATAGCATGTCCCTTCCCGGGCTCCGTATGTATGTATCATTGAATTTGAAAAGTTCACAAAAACTCCTTTCGAAGTTTTGAAATAGTTCTGTTATATTTCCTAAAATTTGTTCCGTTGTAGTAGTCATGCCATCCTAATTCACCATTTGTGGACTTTTTTATTGAACGTCGCCCTAAAATATACTATTCTCGTATCAACAACACCACGGGAGCTACTTCGAATTTTCTTTTGGGGGAGGGGGGTTATTGCTCAAAGTTATGTGATCTGTGTAGTGTTTTGTGGTCTTGTCTTTTCATTGTTTTCTTTAATGCAATGGTACTGTATGTTTTGTTCAATCATAGTGTTTATTGCCTCTTTGGTATCATATTCCTTCTTCTGTAACACTTCACTAAAACACCCTGATTAAAACGTAATTAACGACAACAATTTGTTTCCCCACCAATTGCATAAATGACCTTATACAAACATCTTCATTCGTATTGTTGTACAGTTTATCAATACGCAAAATCCCAGAACACACCAAATATGTGCAAAATCCAAGAAAGAAACCAAGTATGTAAAAGTTTCAAAGTCAATGAACCATGATCAGGGGTGGGGCTATATAATCTCCATGGAAACGATACTTGCAAATGCCAATAAATTTGCATACCAAATATCAATGACTTAACATTAGCAGTTGATCTTAAACTGATCTAATCACAAACTAATACATGTAAACTACTCAAAAGTTTCAAAGTAAATAGACCATGACTGAGGGGGCGGGGCCAAATATTCTCCATGGAAATGAGATGTGCTAATGCTTATACAACTGAACACCAATTAACATTGGCCTACCATTAATGGTTCCCTTTGAACTAACCTAATCACAAACTAATACATGTAAACTTAGCAAAATTTTCAAAACTCAATAGACCATGACTAAGGGGGCGGTGACAAATAATCTCCATAGAAATGAGATATGCCAATGCTTATACAACTGCATACCAAATATCATTGACCTACCACTAGTGGTTCCCCATAAATTGACCTAATCACAAACTAATACATGTTAACTATGAAAAGTTTCAAAGTCAATAGACCTTGACTGAGGGGGCGGGGCCAAATAATTTCAATGGTAATGAGATGTGCCAATGCTAATACAACTGCATACCAAATATCATTGACCTACCACTAGTGGTTCACCATGAACTAGACCTGATCACAAACTAGTACATTGTTGACGCCGCCGCCGCCGCCGCCGCCGCCGCCGCCGTAAACAGCATACCTATGTCTCGCTTTTTGACTCCGTCAAGGCGAGACAATTAAAATCGTTTTTAGTACTTTTTCTCGTTTGTTGATTCCTCACGAGAAAGAGGTACAGAAACAATGTAGGAATTGAAAATGAAAAAAAAGTCTAAGTACAATTACCAATATTAATAATGGATTAAAGTTAGTTGTGAGGAATCGTGTTATATATATAAATCCAACCGATTTGAACTGAAGATAAAAAGATGCAATATACGATAGAAAAATTACATACATTCTTTTCATACACTCGATATCCTCACATATCCAGTATTTCTGTTGAAACCATTTTCAATATCTATTTCTGTATATATGAAATGAAAAAAAATTAATATACATGTAATGTTTTTCTTTTTTTTAATATGAACAAGTATTTTCTATAAAATGCTACGTGGACTATTTTGTACTGCATGCAACATTTTAACGAATGTGACCTACCGAATTAGACTATTTACCGGATTTGTAATAACATGAGCAACACGACGGGTGCCACATGTGGAGCAGGATCTGCTTATCCTTCCGGAGCAACTTAGATCACCCCCAGTTTTTGGTGGGGTTCGTGTTGCTTAGTCTTTAGTTTTCTATGTTCTGTCATCTGTACTATTATTTGTCTGTTTGTCTTTATATTTTTGGCCATGGCGTTGTCAGTTTGTTTTCGATCTATGAGTTTGACTGTCCCTCTGGTATCTTTCGTCCTTCTTTTATAAATTTATTAATTTAAAATTGAAATTGTCCTTGTCAATCTGTGACATATAACTAAAACGGTGGTGGCAAAACGGTCCAGGATCCCAGAAAAAAAATTTTAAGTGGCGAAGAGCCTTGGTCAACACCTTTGAAATGAGCTAGATCTGGTTCGGAACTTTGCTATTGGGACATGGCGAAGTGTAACGAATGTGTGGTTGGTATGAAAAATACGCTAAAGGCAAAAATACACGTGCATGTATCTATGACGTATATAGAATCAACCAATCAGCATACAAGATCTTGTAATCACGTGGAAGCAATTAGATAGAAATATTTGACTGATAAAATACACATACTTATCTATCACACAGTGCAGGATCTGTTTTAACGCTTCAACATAGGAAGTAAAGGACTGTTTTGTAATGTGTTTGTAAAAAAAACAGTAATAATCATCTCTCAAATAGAGATTGATAATACAAGTTATTCTCAAATAGAATAACAACATATAATAATCTCTCAAATAGAGACTGTTATTAATAGAATAGCAAAAATAAAGTAATCTCTCAAATAGAGACTGCTTTATAACAAAATTGTTCTTAAATAGAATAACAAAAAAAGATTTTAATCTCTCTAATAGAGTATTAAAAGCAATGAGCAAACGTTTTACATACAAAAGACATAAAAATCTAAAAGAGTATTTAACGAATTCAAAGAAGAAATATTATATAAACAGACGAAATCAAACAAAAGATAAACATGTAACGCATAATAAACCAATTGAAGAGCTTAAATAAAAAGAGGAAAAAAAAACAAAAACAACAGAATGAAGAAAAAAGATAAAAAACGATTGTATAAACAGGTGTCGTATCCCCATAAGAGAAATCAAATAGGAACTATTCTACATATTACAAGAAAGGAAACATAAAGGCTAGGGATACCTGATGAGGATAGGCCTAGGTCTACATGACTATAACCGAAACACCTTTTTTAGTATAAGAAACCCAGACCTGATCTGGATTTCTATTCTAAAAATACACACACAATAATTATACTACAAACATGCAAGTGTGAATTTCAAGAAAAATATGAAAATAAATGCAGAAGAATGATTTCCATAACCAGAAATATTATTCATACACTGAGTTTACCAGCTCTAAATTACTCTAAAAGTATGCACATAGAAAATGGAATTAATCACGAAGGATTATAATAAGATATACTGGATTGGTCCTGGACCCGATTGATTTTAATAACTTTGATAATGATTCTTTATCAGGTGGCACTTTACATTAACTAAGATTTTTGTTTCAAACAGTTTCATATCGTACTAACCTTTACATGATTATATTAACTCTAAACTCATTATATCGCCATATATTGTATTTTATGTTGGTGTTTGATAGTATCTAATATGTTTTAACAACTTTTCAAGAAAAGGAACAAATTAAAGCTTAGAATATGCTTTTTACATTTGTCTTTTCTAAATCACTTCAAATTAGTATACTCAACATGTTTATTTTACTAATTTTTATCATTTGGTAAACTCAAAATAAGAAAAGTACATAGATGTTGTCTTGGATGAAAATTAACAGTTTTGATCGTTTCATCAAAGTTCCAGCAAGTATATCTAGCAAATGTATCTTTTTCATCACAAAATAATGCTTTATTTGAGCTGCAGCAAATAATATGCAATCAGATTTTTCTTCAAAGCACCAATTACTTTAATAAGAAAACTTCTATTAAATACGATCGTATAGAAATGCATTGCGGATAGTGGAAAAGTCATGACTGTCAACTAAATTGAAAGAACATAAAAAAGCACGTAAAACAACCAAATAGTTTTTAACACTCAAATTCTCTAAACATATAACAAAAGTTAACAACAAATACTTTAAATAATGCAAGGAACTGTCTTAAAGCACAGAAGGTAACAGAGAGACGAAAGATACCACAGGGACTTCAAACTCATAAGTCGAAAATAAACTGACACTGCCATGGCAAATCTGAAGATTATTGGATAAATATTTACAATAAATAGCCATTCTTAAAAAAATCGTCCAAAAATGACAAAACCGCTCTAAAATCAAAATATTTCTTGATGAATCAATTTTTGTATACACCAAAAAAAAGCGAGTTTATTGTTTATAGGTCAAGGACATTTTTTTTTATCAATTTAAAATGCAGTGTCTATTTTTCAGAAAGCAGCTATCCATTGGAGGTTTTTACAGTTGCCCAAACCACCGCAAAATGATAATAGGCATCAATATGTTTTTTTTATGTTAAGTTAAACACATTGACTGAGTCAGGAAGAAATAATTTCGTCATACTTTAAGAAAGGGTAATACAAGTACACACATAAATATGCTAATTCTATATAGTAAGAAGTCTAACTTGTTTACGTTTTGGAGTCATTTTGAAATGTAAAATGACCTCGCTTCTTAATTGATGCCGAAATTCAAACAAATAACTTGTGCTTGATCGTCCTTTCCAAAATACCAACGAACATGAAATAATTCGTCTTTTGTTTTGCTTTTAAAAATGTTAAACGTGTAAAGATGTTAAATCTTATTCCATATCCGAATGAATACTGCTTGTACTATGCGCTTTTAGTTCGGTATTTTTGTTATTTTACTTTTCAAATCACAAATCCTATGTAGGTATATATGATGACACATTATTAAGTAGTTATTTTATTTCTGGAACTTCGCAATATTCTGGATTTAACACCATCCTAAAACACCTGAGATTAATCCCGGCGGTTAGGTAGTGTTCGCTTTGACATTTCGGTGTAGTGTGTTGTGGACTCACTGTTGATTGACTGTTCAATCTTTTGCTTTGATAAATGTGGTATCTTTGTTTATTTGTTTTATGGGTTACGATTTGCCTCGCGATACCCTTTTTTTCAACCAAAGAATATTTTTCTTTAAAGCACAGTGATAAATGATTGATTGATGTTCCAAGATGCCGCCTCAGCACAAACAGGCTATATAGCGGTTACAGTGATTGATGAAATCACAAGGGGACTTAATGTGTTTTGCGGGAAAATAGAAATCATCTTGTCCCTACGCCTGACTTTCTTATTTCTGTCCAGTCATATGTCGACTAAATATTACTACATTAAAGTGAAAGTTCACTATTTTAACAGCATCTTTGATGATGTACTTTAAAGGATTTCATTCAAGATAAAAGATAAACAAATTCAAGTAGAGTTAAATAATAAGAAATAAAATTCATCACAACAGACAGATTGTCCCCTTATTTCACATACCTATCTTTATTGAGACACTACTTGCGGTAATGAAATAAAAAGAACAAATTATAGGATGCAATGCATTTTATCTGAAAAATAGACTGTTTTACTTATGTTTTGAATACAGTTTTACTGGGATTCAATTCTTATCTGATTTTTGGAAAAGATGAAATTTCAAGTTAACAAAATGTGCAAAGCAATTTAGTTTTCGATACTTTTGTAAGTAGAAAAATAACACCGTGATGTAATGTAGAGAGTCTTAACCCTCAAAAATATATTCGCAAAAAGAAATTGGTTAAGATGATATACAACCAATTCAATATCATAAAACAATCCTCCAGAATATTCCATTTTCACAGCTGTCTAAGTTTTATTTCAATGTAACTATTTATATATCCTGATTGTACAAAAATGCATAAAAATTCAACATGCCAATAGCCATATCGTTTAACATGCCAATAGTCGATCAATGTGTGACAGATGACATTCCGTAATTCCCCCTAATGCTAACACTTTGAATACATTAGCACCTCTACCATATAATTTTAATGCAAAATAATGGACATGTAAATAGCCTGTTCTCAAATCAACCCACATATGCATATTTTGGCAAACATTTCATTTGTAAAAATGATTTGGCAAATGTATTTATAAACAGTAATATCAAAAGTACTATGTTTTGTCAAAGTAGGCATACTGTTACAAGTTAATTGGTTGGAATTAGGGTTTGACACCTACACAAAAATTTTCGTCTTTACTGAAGCAATTAGCTAAATTGTTTTACCAGTTGATGAGTTTGTAGAGGTGAATACATACTGCAATTGGGTAAAACGTTTTAAGCAATTGATATAGTAATAATCCAAAGACTTCTCGATATGCCCTGTAAATGCTTTAAAAAATATTTAAAGGAAACCTTGAAAATTAAAAAAAGGACATGTCATTTAAAAACCTTTCTGAAGGTGAATTTTACAGTGACTGGCGCCATGGTTGTCAATTATAGGGGCTTAATAATAAATGGCTTTTTATCTCTCTCTTTTTCGTCATTTTGTCTGATTTTTACACCATATAAATATCTAAGAAAGAAAAGAAGATTGCCTCTTTGGTTTTAAGATAACCATTTATATGTTACCTTATTTTTGATACAATAATACATTCCAAAGTTAATTTTCATTCCCTATTTGGAGTAATAAAAGAGTAGGCCCGTTAAGACTCCTGTTTGGCCCCAAAATATAGCGTTTTTACAAAGTAGTTAAAAATGTCACTTTTATCTATTTATTGGAAAGTAGATACTTTTGTTAAATGAATATGGGCTGTGTTTGACAATACAATGGACATGCAACAGGTACTAGTACAATTTTGTCATGCAAAAATACTGGAATCTTCACATGTTTAGCATTTGTGCTAATTTTAAGACGGTTTTTGTCTACAATGGAAGTGGCCGCAGTTGTGTTCAGTCTTAATATTTAAATATATGTTGTATTTTATGATAATACATAACATATATAAATGCTGAGAATGAACACGAATGCGGCCACTTCCATTTTAGAAAAAAACCATCTGAAAAGTGACGTTTTATGGCATATTTGTTAGATTTTCCATATTCAAGCTAGAATTTGAGCGCCTTTCATGACCAAATCAGTTAAAATTTTGAACATTAACTAATAGGATCGACTGAGTGTTTAAAAAATGTCAAAAATCTTTTATCAGATATACTTCGAATTTTATACCGAAATTAGCCCTTATCGGAACTTCTCCTTTGTCATTCTGTGTAGCTTTGTTCCTACATGTTGCACCAGCCTATCATTAAAAAAGTAAATTTCGTGAGTTTGGAGTAATATCTTTTTCTGCTTATTCAAATCGTTTGAAATAAAATGATACCATGAAATGCTTTATATTCTTGATACATTGGTAGTACATAAAACTAAGTGTTTGATTTGGTGTCCTAAGGTTTTATGTTGAAACTTTTACTATAAAAATCAAATATGATGCATTTTTCTTACACTAGTGCTGTGCCCGAATGCTTAGGGGTAAAATGAAATTAACACTTTACAGATTTGGTGTGACCAACTTTTAGAATAAGTGTATTTTTCATGACTTTGTACTTAATTAATTAGAAATTGTTTACTATTTAAAAATTGTAAGTGCTCCTATTACGCATTGCATCATTTGAAAAAAAGTAAAGCTTGATATTAAGGAAACACAATACAATGTCCGTGGGAATACGAAATATAATCGAAGAGTAAGAATGATCGAATGATGTTTTTAAATCTAGCAATTAGAAAAAAGTAAAATGTTTCTATCGCGTCTGCTGTCTCGTTGTACTGTAGCGTTCACGTTCAATTTGATAATTGCGATATGTTGTGAGCTAGAACCCAGGCCGGGTCAAACAAAAGACTTTGAAATTTGTTTTTTCAACCTTTAGCAGTCTGAGTGACGACTAGTGGACTCGGAGCCAAAGTATAGAATCGGGAAAGGTGAAATGGCTTCCTGATGAAATTTAAACTGTTTGTTTGAAATGTTTTAACATCCAATTCATTATGTAATTTGTAACCCAAGGCTGTAGTATTTATTCAAACAAAATAAAAAGATATCGTCCATCAAATGCACGGTAAGCAAAAGAAAAGTCTTAATCATAAGTTGAAGAAATTCACTCAAGCCAGTGAATGGCTGGAAGAAGCAAAAACGACGAAGCTACAAGTCAATAAAACACTACATCGAAAATATTGATTTACCAACACAAACTCAACCAAAATTATGTGCCAAACAAATTGAGTAGTTCATGTGTGGCTAGTGGCATACGTCGTGCTGTTCATTATATATATAAAACTTAGTATAATATCCAGTGAAATTTGATTATTGACGTTTAGCAGCTTTTAATTGTTAAAAATAATAAATCAATATTTAAGAATCTCGATGCATGCCAAACCAATTCAGATGTAACAATGGACAATGTATTGCAAGCAATTGGCGTTGTGATTGGACGCAGGACTGTATGGAGGGTGAAGATGAAATCTGTGGTAAAAATACACACAAGTTGAAATATGCATGACTTTATTTGAGCGTTCCTATTGCAGGGAAATCCAGTAAAGCGCTTATTAATGCAACAAATGCTATTTTATTTAAATGAATTAAACAGTTGATATTGCTCGACCCTATATCATATCAACGGAGTTATCATTCAACGGCATATTTTACCGAACGAATGTGAAAACCGCTATCTGGAACATCTGACTTAGTCAATTTCTATCACAATCTGTTTTGAATAAAGAAACAACAAAAGACAAATCCATACCATCATATTAGACTACAATTGAAAACATTTTGGAGATGGGAAGTTACTGTTCCACAAATTACATGAAGGATTAAACAAGTAAACTCAATATTTTAAGGACGTTACATAACTGATAATCTTCAAAACACCACTCAATTGTTGTCTTCAGTGTTCAGCGACGAATCCGATCTTCGTTAGTAAACAGTTTTCGATTGATCAATAAATAGCAACGCATTTACAAAATAAATATTATCATTGCAGTGAATTGACTATTAATGTTGCTCTCCGCATATTCGACTTCATTCAAAATTCTGACCAAATTACAATTTGTTTTATCAAATCAAACTGTTCAAGAAACTTTAACCAACTGATATAGAAAACCAATGTCAAGTCATCAAAGTGCAAGGTGATAAAATAAATCATACTCACAATCCTTTAATATTTAAGTAATTCCACATCATGGTTACAATGATAGAATGGCCAAACATTTTGAAGAATGTATTTATTGTAGTGAATCATTTAAAAGATAAGTTAGTTATTTTTAAAATTGCTAAAACTATGGCCCATTTAAGTTTATGATTTATCTCTTCTAAATATTGTTTGTCTATACATGCTTCTAAGCTGACATTATATAAAAATATCTAACCTCAAATAGAATTTACTGACCCCGTAAATATCGTATTAGGTCACTCGCACATTGTGTAACGAATTTATTTTACCGACTGTCCTAACATGTAGAATTCAGCCTAGTGGCCTATTAAAGTGATCACGTATTCAATATACAGAAATACTTCCATTGGTCTATACAAAAACATAATCATACCAACAAGCACAATGTGTTAGCCTTTCATGTGTTTTCTGCATTTATTTTCAATCGTTTATCATAATTTCTTCATCTGTTGTCTGGGCGAAACGCTTCCTATTTTTCTTCAACGTCATGTATTTTTATAAAGGGACGTAACACTGCTACTAACCGTGTAATAAAATAAAACACGCTCACTTTCCCAATATCAAATATACAGGGTCTCCACGTATTCGCTTTTAACCAATGACATTCGGAGAAATGTATAGGAGGTAAGATAAATTAGATTATCTCCCCATGAAACTGATTACATCATATTGTGCTTTCACATTTATTTTACTGAAAATAAAAACATATTTTAATTCAAACTGATGTCTAATTCTTATGAATACAGCAGAATTTTTGAAGGAAAATAGTATAAAAACTTAGTTTGGAATTTTTATAACAATACTATTCCAAAAGTATTTCCTCTCACCTTTAAAATGAATATCTTCTATAAAAATATGTAAAGACATTTTATAAACATTTTCATAACAGCCATGAAGTGGAATTAAAATCTTAAAGGAGTGTAAGTATGCTTTATTTTTTTCACCTTGCACTTTGATGAGTTGACTGTGGTTTTCTACAGCAGTTGATTAAAATATTTGACCAGTTGAGCAGTCTTATTTGATAAACAAATTGTAATTTGGTCAGAATTTTGAATTTTGAATGAACTGCAATAGGTGGAGAGCAACACTCCCAATTAATTCACAGTTTTAAATTTTTAACAGAAAATGAAAATAACATTAACAGAGTCATGTCCATTTTATTATGAAAATGCATATTGTTAAAAATCATGCTTGTAATTATATACCAGATGATCCAACATGTGCTAAAGATGAAATAAGATGTTCTAACGGCAAATTTTTGAAATCACAATGGTTATGCGATGGTGAAGATGAATGTGGTGATGGAAACGATGAACAGAACTGTAGTAAGTATATGTATTTATGTAAATGTGTAGATTTCAAATGAACTTAATAGATGACCTAACATTTTGCAGCTGTTCTTTATTACAAGATTCAAAATGTTATGACATGTGAGTAATTCCTAATGCTTTAGTATAAAGATAATGTTTTATTAATGTTTGACTATAGTTAATTGCGGAGCAGACTGCAAGAGGCAATGAAAAACACGCTAATAGACACGAACAACACAAAATAAATAAAAGATAAACAACAACCAACAAAAACTACACAGCAACACGAACCCAACCAAACATTCGGGGTGAACAAAGGTGATTCAGATGGGTAAGCAATTTCTGCTCGACTAGTACCATCCGTCGTATTGTGCATGACAAAACTCTTAACTTGGAGATAATTCAGTTGCTCATTCGTCCTTAAATAATGATACATAAGAAGTTACTAACATATTTAGAAGAAAATAATTGAAAATCAAAAACCTGATGCAAACGTTGAGGAGCTTGGAAGAAACAAAAAAACAAAAAGTATGACCAAATCCGAACAAGGAATCAAATTTTGAATGTAGGAGAGATATATTCCAAAATTGCTTTACATCAGATTTCAATCAAAACATAAGAAACTTAAAGAATGTAAACGTCTGATAACCTACAATAAGACAGTATCAGGCAATTGATTTGTGTTGGGTTGCTGAATATTTTAAGACAATATCATTTACATTTATTTCATTTTTAATACAGTGGTAACTTTGATGTTGAAATGTTAACTCGATAATTTACACCTATCTTGTTCTGCTTTATAAATAATATAATCGTTAGAAAACTGGGTATGAAAGGCCACTTTCTATCGGAGTCATGCAGATAGCACCATACTTTATCAACAAATATCTACATGTCTTCGATAAGTTAGCAAACATTTTAACATGCGTGTTTATAATATACAATCCCTATTGTTACAATTTTTCGGGTACATATAACATTCATCTCAATCTGAGACGTCAATTCAAACACGCACAAATCTAACCAAATAAACTCATCTTACATACCAGGCTTAATATTTTATACACCAGTCGCGCGTTAAAAACAAAGTCAAAAAGGCCAAATAAAGTACGCAGTTGAAGGACATTTAAGGCCCAAAATTCCGGAAAGGTTTGCCAAATACAGCTTATATAATCTATTCTGCGGAAAAAAAGAAAATCCTTAGTATTTCGAAAATTCAAAACTGTTATAGTTATGAACATATCATCGATAATTCGTGTGAATTTTCTTTACTGAATATTTGAAAGAAAGGGAAGTAAACAACATGAATGAACATTGTCATACAAATCTCTAATATCATAATTAAAAAATGTCAGAAATAACTTTTAGCTTTGCATTTATTAAGGGTTAGTTAATGTTAATTTTCAACTGTACAATTAGAAAAAATCTAGATTGTTACCAGAGAATATGTCTGATAGATATTTGGAGGTATTGTTGAGAATATGGGAGGTTCACTTAGGTCATAAATTGTATTTCTATGGCGAAAAATAGAAGTACGGAATAGAAAAAAATTAAGAACATTATGAATATTTTAAAAAAACTGCGTATTCGTAAGGCACTCTTATACACACACAGACCACACAGAAAACCAAAGGTGAACACACTGTGAGGTACGCACATTGACTTCAACCAATATGGACAACGATCAAACTATACTGTATTATTGCGTGTTTATTTATTTACGATTATTTAAAATCTATCCGACGTACAGCCGCTGATATTCCAATGAAGAGTCTCAAAGTTTCAAGCCCGCCAATTAAGTACTTTGATCGTGCTTTCGGTAACTGTTAGTATTCTTTTATAATGGTATTGTTAATTTTTATCTTAGTTGTGCTTTTTTGTTATACCAGTATTGCATGAATTTAAGAGTTCCGTGCTTTTGTGTGCTGATTTTTATTGTGCGTTCTTTTAAAGATTCTTTTGTTATTCCACTGACCGATGGCAAAGAAGGTGATTTCTAAAAACTCTTTCAACATTGACCAATGATCATGTACATATTCCAAGTCAGGACCGGGTCAGTGGTTGTCTTTAGTTTTATCATAATGTTTTAGTTACTGTTTTCGAGATGAGGGAACTTTGTATTGAAGACAGATCTTTAATATATTCTGTTAAATTCATTGACTTTGGCCGATTCAGAATTTGCAATATTATATATATACTTACAATATGTTGTGGAAAACCGTATTCTAACCTTATTTGCTTATTCATCATTTGCCCCATTTTATATTTTGTAGTCCCTACTGGCACTTTTGCATTTAATAGATATATTAGGTAATATATGAGATTTGAGGTAAACATTCACGAGACAGCAATCCAACGATACAAATAACCATACACCGAGAGATTCATTATTCAGTAATAGTGCCCATAGAGTATTTCATGCTCTAGATATCTTTAGACATTTAAAACCTTGTGATTAAATTAAAAAGATAGTTCAAAGATCTGCATTCTAAACAGAATTCTCAACATAACAAAAGCATTAAGCTATGATTAGACTAATGACAATTTCTTTTTTATACACTGAAGATTATGTAATGAAAATGATCCAATTTTTATCGACAACATATTTGTTGAGATTGGTGGATTGATATTTTAACAAACAATCGGTATTTAAATGTGTGCTAATTGTGCACCATACTGGCCGATTTGTTTTTGTATTTATAAGCTGCAGATTTCATAAAACCCTACTCAGAGACAAAAAACAAAACATCTTGCAAAGTTCTATAAATTCACTTTCAGATATATTGATGATGTCCTGTCACTTAATTACCCACATTCCAAGGAGTGTTTGAATCTCATATATCCGAGTAATTTAAAGGCCTGCTTCATATATTGATCTTTTCCTCTATACTGACCAACAGGACAAATTCAAACTATAATCTATGACAAACCTAATGATTTCAACTTCGAATTGTCAACTTCCCATTTTTCAGCAGTAACATACCTTTGCTTATTGTATGACGTTTCCTCATCTTAATTGATACGTTACGCATATGAATGTTTACACTATACGTACTTCATTAGTTGGGGTATGCTACTTACACAATAACCGCTGCAGCAGAGTCATATGGAAGAACGCCTGAAATCGAAACTGAAAGTTTTAAAAAGTTTTACGGTCACCATCACGGAATGGATGACTTATATGATATGTCTGTGTCTCAACATTTCTTCGCCGTCTTAGATCTTTAAACACCATTACATTTGTCGTAATTGTGTTTTTTTACCGATTATGTTCTATTCCCTAATTGACATATTTGTCCTATATAAGCGCTAACGATGGTCGGTTCAACCAGGAGAATATTTCATTTACTGGAAAACTCATTTACACTTAAATTAAGAAGAATGACGTCAGCGCTGTTTTAACATCCAGTCATTCCGTCTGAATAACTGCTGTCGTAGTACTCTGCTGTGTTCATATATATTATTAATTGAATATTTTGAAAGATTTTTGATTCGTTAAAACTTGATCACATGTACATTTGTATTTACTCAGTTTGCACGGCAATACTGTTGTGTTTAACTTTTGTAGGTCAAAAACAGCATATTGCACAGGGCATACATCATGTTACTAAAATACATTCTAGAAATCCCCAAGTTTACATTGTTCATGCAATAGTTGTTGATTAATAATATAACAATTGTAGCCTTTGGTTGAGGTCAATACGATGGTATATCGACCTAGAGATGCATAGCGACCTCGGACTTCGTCCTCAGTCAATATGCTTCTTTTATGTCGATATAACCTCGTATCGACCTTATACAAAGGCTATAATTGTATAATATCTATTAAAAGTGTTCTTCATATCTGCGCTTGTGTAGCATACTTTCTAGTGAATATAAAAACCAAAGAAGCCAGTAAGATTCCATATTAATTACTAATTAAAATAACGACTTTTAAAGTTTATCCACCGAAATCGACAGATGTATTGGCTCGATCAAATTTTTAAAACTATTTTTATAATATCTTCATTTGAATATTTAATGCAGAATTCGGTGTGGTTCTTCCGAATGTGAGATTTGTTGTGACCTAGTTAACAATAACTAAATATACGATTTAGATGAGAAAAAAACATTGTTATGGTAGATCAAAGGTCTAAATTAAAATCAATAGAATTTGTTAATAATTTGTGAAAATGTAGTTTATATCATGCTTTATTCAAAACTGTAATAAAAAGTATGGGTCAAGTCGCTTTTCATTCAAGCTACAGATTTTGTCAGATTTTGTAAAGATTATACATGAAAATACAACTTTGTATGATTGATAGAAAATTAATCGATAAAATGTTAAGATAAAATATGAAGAAACAATTCTTATAATGTGATTTTAGATAATAAAAAGAAAAATTGCAATCATGCAACTCGTTTTCTTGCTACAGAACACAATGGGTGAATTCCCACATATCCCTTGTAAAAGTACGTTATCTGAATTATATCCCCATATATGGCAAACTTGAAAATTGAATCATACAAAAACAAAAATGTATTTAAAAAAAGTCCTAATAATAAAATAAAACATATAATTCTCATCCTTTAGATGAAAAGTTTTAAAAATGAATAAAATTTGTCTATTTTACGGAAGATCTTTATCGATTGTGTTCGGCTATTTTACAATCCAAGATGGAGGAAAATATGCGATCTACCTTAAATGAAAGATTTATGCATAGTCGATGTTTATTATGATAATGAGGAAAAATTGTGCAGAATGTATAGAAATAGAAAGTTTTGATTTTGATACACAATTTTAATGATAATGATTGAAAATAGAACTTCAGCATATTTCGGAATCAACTTATAATGTTCGTGAGTATATCTAATCAAAATATCTTTAAAGATAATTTCTGACTAAAAAAAGTAGACAAATTATATTTCCCTTCTTAAATTGATACCGAAATGATTAACTTGACATTTCCGCATCAATTTGCCTTGCGGAACAGTTTGAATGTACGAATGGAAAGTGTATAGACATTAAATGGCGA